CCATTTTGTATATTTCATGAGTTCTCTGTTTTTCAATGCAGCATAGTATTTCACTGTGTGAATATACCACAGATTCTCTATCCACTCATTTGTTGATGGACACTAGGGTTGTTTCCAATTCTTTCCTATTGTGAACAAAGCAGTAATAAACATGGGTGTGCATATATCTGCTAGGGTGGCAGTTCTGGTTTCTTTAGGATATATTCCGAGGAGTGGAACTGTTCATTCTTAGCATTTTTAAAGCTATAAACACTGAAGAAAAATTTCAACCTAAACTTTTAACACTGAATGCTTCTTTGGGCAAAATGTTGAAGACGTCACAGGTATCAAAAAGATGGAAGGACTATACTTAGTCACGGTACCAAGAAGAATTGGTCAATGTTCAACTATCCCAGGAGGTAGTGTATGAAGAACTGAAGGTATGGAATAAAGAAGTCCAAGGTGCACTGAAGATGATGAAAAACAAGGTTCCAGAAATTAATGGAATACTGTTTGAGCTGTCTCAACAAAGACATATAATGTTAATGAACTCAACTGTCAAGAAATCTGGAGGGCAGTTACTTGGCCAAGTGCGTGAAAGAGATCCATATGTGTCCATTCCAAAGAATGTGCCAATGTACAATAAAATTATAAGCAGAAATCATCAAATAGTATCTTATAAATAAAATATTGCTGAAGATAAAAAACTGCTGAACTGTTACTAACAGAAATTAAAATTAGATTCAGGATGGCAGAAAAATTATGGGATATTACTGATGTCAGATGGTATTGTGTTTTGGGGTGCCACTAAGTACAACATGTATGAATCAACAACATATCTTAATCCTCTCCTATCTTCTGCCATCTCAGCATCTCTGACACATCTGCCAGTGCTGCAGTCATGATCCTAATTCATCTGGTTGAGAGTCTTCCTCTCTTTCCCTGATCTTCCTGTTTTCCAAGTATGATGTACTTTTCCAATGACTAGCCTTGCCTAGAAACATGCCCAAAGAGTATGAGAAAAAGCTTCGTCATCCTTGCCTCTAAGGAGCAATCTGGGCATACTTTTTGTATGGAAACAATTATGGAGATCGCCCATTTTTCTCCCTCAGAGATACTGATGGTTTCAAACCTCCAGCCAGGTGCCATCTTTCAGTTAACTGCACAATGACCAAGGAGGATAGAAGGAGAACTGATGCCTTTGAGCTGTGGTGCTGGAGAAGAGTACTGAGAATACCATGGACTGCTAGGAAAACAAATAGATTTGTCCTGGAGAGGGTTAAACCGGGTGGCTCCTTGGAGGCAAGGATTCTGAGGCTCCGTCTAACTTACTTCGGATATGTAGTGAGGAGAGACTGGTCCTTGGAGAGGGACATCATGCTTGGGAGGGTGGAGGGACGGCGCAGGAGAGGAAGGCCCTCTATGAGGTGGATTGATTCAGTGACTGGGATAATTGGGATGGGAGTGTCAGAGACAGTGCGATTGGCACAGGACAGAGCAGAGTTTAGGGCTGTTGTACATAGGGTCGCTATGAGTCGCAGGCGACTCGACGGCACATAACAACAACAACAGCAAGCACAACTCCTTATAGACTAGGCCACCCTATTTTAGAACTTGATTATGGTAATAGTTAAAATATTTTATTTACCAAAAAAAAATCAAATTAAACACTGACAATTTATATGAAGAGCCCACAAAATTTTCTTTAAAATTCATCACTCCCTCCCCCCAAAAATCATCAGCTGACCAATTCATCTTAATTTATTGTACACTGACTATTGCAACAGGTTTGACTGTCAGTGATTACAATGAAGGCATGGGATAGGACAGTGTTTAGATCAGTTGTTCATAGGGTCGCTGTGAGCTGTATATGACACGAAAGCACTTAACAACAAGGCATTCCTAAATTTCAAAAATTGTATATATGCAAAAAATAGAATGGTTAATGCATCTGTTTTTCATATTTATAAATACCTCAATAAATTAGGATTTCACAGTTTTCTTACTTTTTAGGTAAAAGGTAATACTCACCCGAATAGTTACTGTATGGTTGGCAGAGGGTCTCAAGAGAGGCAGGTGCATTCCACACCTAGGCATTCTTCTCATCTCTTCAATAGGCGTTCCAAGCCATTTTTTATCTGGAGAAAGCTGAGGTGGAACGTACTTAGGAATCTTCTTTTCTGTTCTTTGATGTCTGATTTCACACTGTTCTGTTCTAAGGCCAAGACAAATGTATTCAATCACAAAGTCACTGTTTAAATCAACATGGATACACAAAGAGAAAATTTAAACATAATTTTATTGTTAAATAGTCCAAGCTTACTCTCACTTCTGCATGTTTTTTCTATTTATTAAGCAAAAGTAAATATGCAAAGTATGTGCTTACTGTCAGTCTGTAGAAAGAAATTTTCAAACCTAGAGATCCTTCCGAAAAAAGGGACCAAGTAAGAGTATCACAGTCCAGTAAGTCACAGGTCACTGTATCTATTTCAAATGCTAATCTGTTGCTCAGGTAATCCAGTAATTTTAAACTAAGTGAAATTCATGAATTTTAAGAAAATTCTAAGAAATGATTCCAAATTGTTGGGTGTCATTGAGTCAAGTAAGATTCACAGCAAACCTATGACTAAGAGATCAAAACCCTGCCCTATCCTACACCACCCATCCTCAGATTGTACTGGCTCTAGGCCATTGTTACACTCTGTAAGTTCATTTAGTTGAAGGTCTTCCCCTCTTTTTCTGACCCTCCACTTTTTCCAGTATAATGTCTTTTTCCAAGGCTGGATCTCTCCTGACCACTTGCCTATGATATGGGAGAAGACTTTTTATAATCCTTGCCTCTAAGGGTCATCCTGGGGGCAATTCTTCCAAGACAAATATTTTTCCTGCAGTGGTCCATTCAATATTCTTGACAACCATCACAATTAAAAGGTATCAATTCTTCTTTGATCTTCCTTACTCACCGTCCAACTTTTAGATGCATAGGAAGCAAATGAAAATAGATGAGGTGTATTTTAAGTCTTTAAAATGATGTCCTTGTTCTTTAATACTCTGGAAAAGGTCCCTGGCAGCAAATTTTCCCAATACAACACATCTTTCAATTTCTTAACTGCTGCTACCATAGGTATTGATACAAGATAAGACTCAACATATTACTTATCAGTCTAATGTTGAAGATTTTTTGATTCTTGAGATGTAACCCATACTTTGCTTTGACCCATGTGACATTAGCAATTACGTCAACTCTTCTACAGCCTCTTCTGAATCCAGCATACATTTCTGTAAGCTTTCTGAATGTACTGTTTCAGTTACAGTTTTATTGTTTGTTGTTGTTTTATTAATTTTAATGAACGTTTACAGAGACTTCGGGTTTCCAGTCACTTATTGTTGAACTTTTCTCCCTGCTCACCCCCTCATCCCCAATTCACTTTTCTCCTTGATAAGACTCTTTCATTACTATGAAATCCCTCCCTGCTCAAACTACATTTTAATAATCTTCAGCAAGATTTTATTTGCATGTGATATCAATGATATTGTTAGATAATGGCATTCTACTGGATCACCTTGTTTTGGATTGGGAACAAATACTTCCAATTAAGTTCATCAGGTAGCTGTCTTCCAAATTTCTTGACACAGGCTAGGGAATATGTCAAGGGTAGCTTCTGTTTGTTGAAACATGTCAATTAGCATCCCAAAAATTGTTTTTTACCATTGCCTTCAAGGTGACTTGAACTTTTTCCTTCATTAGTTACTGATTCTTGATCATATATTTGTGACTTCCTGAAATGATTCAATGTCAAACAATATTTTTTGATACAGCAACTGTGTATTCTTTCCATCTTCTTTTGATACTTCTTGTATCATTCAAGATTTCGCTCACAGAATTCATCAACATAGCAACTTGAGGCTTGAATTTGTTCTTCAATTCTTTCAGCTTGAGAAATTCTAAGCAAGTTTTCCCGTTTTGATTTTCAAATTCCAGCTCTTTGTACAATTCTTCTTGATACTCTGCTTTGTGTTTGTTCTGGACATGACCTTTGAAATCTTTTCAACTCTTCAGCATTCCTTCCCCTCATTTTTGCTTCTTTTTGTTATAGATTAAGTTTCAGAGTCTATTCTGGGGGTAGATTTTAAGATTTTGTAGCTCTGTTGGCTCAGAGGCAAGAAGTTGTGTTGCCATCCCAAAGGCAGCCGGTTTGAATCCACCTGTTGCAGAAGAAGGGTGAGTAATATTCTGTATGATTTACTGCTTCTGAAAACCCACTAGAGGGTCAGGTAAGAATTGATTCGGAATTGACGGTACCCAACAAAAACAAAGCAAAAAAAAATGTAAGTGAATGTTTTTATTAATGATTTTTTAATGCAACATATGTATTTTTACAGCATACTCTTTCCATTTAATTTTTTCCCTTTCATAGTTGCACATTTTCCTCCCTGTCCACCCCTCCCCTTCAGTTCGCTTTTCTCTTTGGAAAGAAAAAAAAAACTTCTTTCACTGTTATACACCAATCTCCCCCGCCCCCAAGTCCACATTACTATGCATTTCTTTTTCTGGAATCTTGTCATGAAAATAATACCTAATCCTAGATTCCTTTTGAACAGTTCTCTCCCTCATCTGTTTCAATGCAGTATAAATTATTTATCCCCTCTTTTCTTAGGCTCCCACAACCTCTGTGTCGGTCCTGTTTTACAACAGTGGCATTATGCAGTATTTGTCCTTTTGTGACTGAGATATTTCACTCAGCATAATGTCCTCCAGGGTCACCCATTTTGTACAAGATTTCATGAATTCTTTGTTTCTCAATGCAGCTTAGTAGTCTATTGTGTGAATATACCACAGTTTCTCTATCCATTCATTTGTTAATGGACACTCAGGTTTCCAACTCTTTGCTATTATGAACAAAGTAGCAATAAACATATCTGCTTGGGTGGCAGTTATGGTTTCTTTACAGTATATTTGCAGTAATGGAACTGCTGGGTCAAATGGAATTTGTTTCTAACTTTTTGAGAAAGTACCATACTGCCTTCCATACTGGTTACACCATTTTCACTACCACCAATAGTGAATAAGGGTTGCACTCTCCACGACCTCCCAGCATTTGCTGTTTGCTGCTCTGCTGAATTTTGCTATTCTTACTGGTGTAAGATATCTCTAAAAAAATTTAAATTTTGTAATCAGAAAGACATGGATGAAAATCTCAATGCTACCACCAACAATTTACATAATTTCAGAACATTTCTAAACCCAAATCTACTTTTTCTTATTTGTAAAGTGAGAACAATATTATTTCACTTGGGAGGCTTGTCAGAGCATTACAGAAAAGTTAGCATCTAATTATACAATTGCTAATATCAGTGTGCAATGAGGTGCTTACAGTTACATGCCTGACTGCTAGCAGAAAGGTTGAAAATTCAAGCCTACCCAGAGGTGCCTTGAGAGATAGGACTAGCATAAATTTTAGAAAGGAGTTCACAAAACAAACAAAATTCTTATTTCCAATATTTGTTCTAACCCTAGCTTTCCACATTTGAACTTTCTAAACCTTGGAAAAAGACATCATGCTGACAAAATTAGAGGGTCAATAAAAGAAAGGAGACTTCAGTGAGGTGGATGATACAGTAACTACAACAATGGGCTTGAGCATGATGTAGACTGTAGTGATGGAACAGGAATAGGGCAAGGTTTCAATGTGCTATTCATAGGGTTACTATGAGCTGTAGTGCACTTGGTGGCATCTAATAAAACATAAAATGTTCATTCTAACTTTAAAATAGCACAAACAGTTAAAACAAGAAAGCAAACTACTTATAAATCATGACTTTTGTAAACCTCCTATTAAAATTATAAATAACAATACTAGAGAAAAATATTGCTGTTTATCAATACCGTAAAAAATTGCTCAAAATATTACCTTTTTTCTTCTGCTTTGGGCATTCTTGGAAAATGAGCTGTGATTTTAGAATCCTTCTGTCGATGCTGTTTAGAATTTCTACATTCTGCAGGCAAACGAGAAGTTTCTCCAGGCAGTTTAGTATTTAAGTCACTTATTCCAGTGCAGCTTCCCCCACTTTCAAACTGGAAACATGATCTTGTTTCTCCTCCCTTAACAGAGTACAGCTTCTTAGTTTCAGTGTCAGTTTCTCTTGCATTAAATCTTGAAGGTTTATTTGTTGTTTGGAAGGAAGGGCCATTTTCCTGCTCATCAAAACCTGGACTTGTCTCCTCATCTGCTTCAGAGTTTTGCCAACTATTTTTAGAATTATCTACATCCATTGGTGACTCAGGTTCACTTTCCTTCTCAAATGTAACAGAATTTCCTAGGTTTCTTTTCTGCCGACTTAATTTGTTGACATTTTTTGATCTGGTGTCCATGTCCTCAGAACCCACATCTGACAATGGACTCTCAGGCACATCTATCTCTTCTTGCTGACAGCCCAAACAATCTTTCATAGCATGTGAAGTCTTGCTGAACTTCTGGTTCCTTGTGGTTTCACTTGGTAGTTCATCTTCTATAGACTGCTTTGCATTTGTAAGTTTTACAGGTATTAAAAATTGTTGATTATCTCTAGTTTCTTCACTATCTGTGTAACTAAGATCATCATTGTGGGGTAACTGATGAACATTAGCATTATTGAATTGCTCTGGTAGCTGAGTTACTGTCGGAGGTTCACTTAGAAAAGGCTGCTCTGTATGTTTTCCTTCTTTATGACATTTACACGTGGTTGCAATCTGATGCTGGTTCAAATATTGTGTACTTTTATCAACAGGTGATTTTGTAAGATTCAACTGAGAAACATTTTCTAATGTCTCATTGTTATACTGGTAAAAAGTATCTTTTTGTATAGAACTCATCATGGATTCTACTCTTGTATTGTTGTTTTCTTTACTATGCAAGCTATAAGAGAATAGAAAGAACTAAAATCAGCTCACGGCACAAGAATACTCTATGGCCCAATCACACCCCAACAATGGCCCTGAAATAATTAAACTGTATGTGATTACATTAGCACATATGAGACTCCTTGTCTTTGGAACTATAATGCTGTTCCCCTGTGTCGAGCAAACATCTGCCCTTTCTTCAAGTCTTAAACATCACTGACTTCCTTTACAATCTTTTCTACTGGTCCAGAGATGTAGTTTCTTCAAGATGCTAACTTCCCACAATCAATAAGAGTGCATCTAAATTCCAAAATCAATCTCCATAATAGTCTATGTGTTTCCTACTGCCAAAGGGGCCCTTTAGAGTAGTGAGAGAAGATCTTCATCCTGAAACCCACAGCGTCCCTTTTCAGCAGGAAGTAGCTAAGAGAATATGCCATCCCCTTTTCCTTATGAATCAGGGTGAAGTCTCTCTCAGGGAGGAGTGATAGGGAATGGCAAAGGACACACCGACAAAGGAGATTAATCAGAACTGACTTTGACAAGCACTGTGGCAATTGGACAATTAAAACAGACATTCAGATGGCAGGGAAGAAGAACAAACTGGGGAGGAGGGTGGAGAGAATGGTGCGGCAATGAAGGAGTGAAAGCCCAGAATCCCTGTGAATGTTCATTGAAACTAATAAAATTTAATAATAATAATAATAAAAAAGAAATTCCAAAGTAAAAAAAAAAAAGATGCTAACTTCCACTGTACCTTGCTCACATCTTCACTGCTACAAACATCATACTATCCAACAACCTCATAGTTTTATGACTGTAACCAACATTATATTGTATTTTGAAAATATGGACTATTCCTCTCTCATCTACTATACCAAGGTTATTAGAAGGTCCTGGACATACAGTGGGCTCTTAAAAATTTACAGATTGGATAAATATTGAATGTACTTAGAAAACATGGTAAAGGAAAGAAAAATAACATGAAGCAAAATAAAGATCCACATAAAATACCATTAACTTTCTTTATAACCATGTTTTTATACCTTTCTGATTCAACAGTCTTGATTCCTTTAGTGTCCATCCAGTCGGTAATAGTCTTTTGGTTGAACACTGTTAAAAAAAAAATTAAATAAATATATACTCTCTCTCTCTCTTCCAAACAGAAAATATGTATAACATATATGCAAGGTTCTATGGGTAAAACAAAGAGTAACCGCAATCTTTCCACAGTCAAGTAATAGGTGATAATAGAGAAACAAAAATAAAAATGTAATGTCATTTGACAGTTGTTGTTATGTTCCTTCAAGTTGCTTGCAACTCATAGCAACCCTATGTACAACAGCCCTAAACTCTGCTCTGTCCTGTGCCAATCGCACTGTCTCTGACACTCCCATCCCAATTACCCCAGTCACTGAATCAATCCACCTCATAGAGGGATGTCCCTCCTGCGCTGTCCCTCCACCCTCCCAAGCATGATGTCCTTCTCCAAGGACTGGTCTCTCCTTACAACATGTCCAAAGTATGTTAGATGGAGCCTCAGAATCCTTACCTCCAAGGAGCCACCCAGTTTAACCCTTTCCAGAATGAATCTGTTTGTTTTCCTAGCAGTCCATGGTACCCTCAATACTCATAGCCAGCACCATAGCTCAAAGGCATCAATTCTCCTTCTACCCTCCTTGGTCATTGTCCAACTCTCTGATGCATAACAAGTGATTGCAAAGACCATGGCCTGTATCAGACGCATCTTACTCTCCAGAGAGACACAATGCTGTTCAGTACTTTGGAGAGGTCCCTAACAGCAGACTTTCCCATGGCAATATGCCTTTTAATTTCCTGACTAGTGGTGCCAAGAATGTTGACTGTGGAGTCAAGCAAACTAAAGCAGTGAACAATCTCAATCTCTTCACCATCCATCCTTATGCTGCCAATTGGCCCAGTGGTGAGAGTCTTTGTTTTCTTGACATTGAGCCTCGATCCATACTGGAGGCTGCAGTCCTTGACCCTCTGCAGCAAGCGTTTCAGGTCCTCCTCAGTTTCAGCAAGCAGGGTTGTGTCATCTGCATAACACAGACTGTTGACAGATCTCCCACAAATCTTGACCCCACATTTCTCCTCACAGAGCCCAGCCTCCCAGCTAATCTGTTCTGCATAAAGGTAGCCACTTCAAAAAAGACTCAGCACACCCATGTTTATGGTGGCTTTGTTCACTATAGCAAGGAATTGGAAACAACCCAAGTGCCTATCAACAAACAATGGATTGAGAAGCTGTGGTATAGTCATTCACACAATGGAATACTATGCTGCATTGAAAAACAAGGAACTCATGCAGTATTATTCAAAATGGGTGTCCCTGAAGGACATTATGTTGAGTGAAATAGCTCAGTCACAATGGGACAAATACTGCATAGTGCCACTGTTGTAAAATGGGACTGATGGGATAAATAAGGTATACGGCACTGAAACTGATAAGGGAGAAAACTGTTTAAAAGGGATATGTGGAAAAAAAAAAGGGATGTGTGGTTAGGTATTATTGTCATGACAGGAGTCCAGAGCGAAGACAGCATAGTGGATTATAAAACAATTAAAGAATTTTTCTTTTACTTTTCAAAGAGAAGACTGTTTTGGGGGGGAGGGGTGGGAAGGGAGAAAAGTACAACAATGAATGAATGGAAATCCAAAGTCTCTGTAAATTTTCATTAAAATTAATAAAAAAAGATTTAAAAAAAACTCAGTAGAGCTTAATGTAGAAGAACCTATACTTAAACCAAGAAACTGCTGTCTGAACAAAGGAACACTATGGTTGAAAATTGAGAAAGGTGCGGGGACTGCGTGGAGAAGGAATATCCCAACTGGGGTAATAAAAAAAAAAAAAAAAAAAAGAAAATTGAGAAAGGTATACGTAAGGGATGTATACTCTGTTTAATCTGTACACTGAACAAATAGTTCAAGAAGGTTGAAGATATGAAGAAGAATATAGCATCAGGATTGAAGGAAAGCTCATCAACAACCTATGTTACACAGATGATACAACTTTGCTTGCTGAAAATAAGGAGACCTGATGCACTTGCTATAGAGGATCAAGGACTGGAGCCTTACATAAGTATCAAAATAAAAATCTTCACCACTGGATCAATAGGCAACATCATGAAAGATGGGGGAAAGACTGAAATAGTCAACAATTTCATCTTGTTTACATCCACAGTCAACATTCTTGGTACAAGAAGTCAAGCGATCACAAGACACATACCACTGAGGAAAAAGTCTGCTGTCAGGAAATCTCTTCAAAGACCTGAAAAGCAATGATGTCAGTTAAAAAACCGAGTCAAGCTACAGGGGTTATTTTGTTTTTTGGGGATTTTTTTCAGCAATGTAGTATAATTTGCATATAAAACCCAAAATCTGGAACTCATACTGTTAATTATTTTTTCTTTTTTTAAATAATTCTAATGAGCATTTACAGAGATTTTGGATTTCCATTCATTCACT